ACGATACAGTAAACCACGGTTTATGAAACCGGTGATAACCGCTATATCGGAAATCGCGGTTACGATTCAGTAAACCGCGGTTTATGAAACCGGTGATAACCACTATATTGGAAACCGCCGTTATGATACAGTAAACCGCGGTTTATGAAACCGGTGATAACCGCTATATTTGAAACCGCGGTTATGATGCAGTAAAGCGCAGTTTATAAAACCTCTAATAACCGCTAAATTTGAAACCGCGGTTACGAGTGCACACACCGCGGTTTTTCGTGGATGCGGTGCAAAAAACCGCTGTGAACCGCGGTTTTCAGCGGTTATCGAATTGACACCGCGGTGGAGTGCGATGAAACCGCGGTTTTCGTATAAAAATTTTTCCGTGGGTACTATATTCAATCTAGAATTTTTATAATTGATTTAGATTTAAAAAGAAAAAAAAAATTTATCTATCTATCTATATATATATATAGATAGACAAACAAACAAATATTCCTGTTCGATGAACACTTTATGATAATGATTCGATCTCAATTTCATGATTTTATTCTTGATTACTAAACAAATTAAAAACATATTAAGACTATTTGCTTTTTTTTCTTTGAATTAAATTTAATTGACTTTGGTTGTAAATTCCATATATTAAATTTCATGATGAGCAACATCAAGAGCATTAATTAATACACTTCTTTGTTTATTGCTATACTCCTCTATATATTTATTTAATTTAATTAAATCTATGAAATTCTTAAAAATTCGACACAATAACAATAAAATTCGTCTCTCATCTCATCTATCTAAAATATGTTAAAATCTAGACTCAATTAAAAAAATCTTCTATCTATTTAAACAATGTTCTATTTGAGTTTTATCATTGATAAAAAGTTAATATAAATTAAAACTATTTATTTAGCTAAAGATTTCTATGAACTAAATTTGTTCTTTCCGTGTACATATTTCTATCATATTGAACAGTATGATTAGATATGGTTTTCTTCGTTTTGAACAAACTGATATAGATACTTGAGACATAGTCTGTTTGTTTGTGTTTTGTTGAGAAATAAATTGTTCAAAGAATGAACTAACAACAATATATAATAAGATAGTTTAGTTGATTTTTCTTGGAAATTTAAAGTAATTAAATAATGCGACACTTAATAAAAGAAAATAGTCGATAATTATTGGTTCTATAAAAATATTTATTTAGAAAAAAATCATAAAATTGTTCGAACATAAAATTTTGAAGAATTATTATTCTAGAAGATCTTCTCATCTTTTCTATTAGTTTCACAAATGAATTATAACAAACTAAATCGAAATAAATCTATTCGATTAAAAATATCTTTGACGAAGACCAGACCATTAGCATAAAAATTTCGTAAAAATCTATTGACGAGACGTGAGGGTGTGGGTGTAGAAATGCGGTATGGGTGTGTAAGAGTTAGATGAAGACACACTCCGACACCCAAACCCTCAACTTATAAATCTTTATACATAACATTCGATTTTTTAAAAATAAACATGTTAATATGGATATTGAACAAGTGATTGATTATGACCGTTTTGATTTTCGAGATCTTGAAATTTCTTTAGGCATTGATATAGGTCGAACAATTGGTTGTGGTGGAATTTCTTCTTGTTTCTTAGTTTCTTTTTGTATTCTTTTATTTTTATCTTTTTGTCTCTTCGGTTTCCAACGAGCATCTCCCGATATATCTGCTGATGATAGTATTGCCAATCCAGAAGATATAATTTTTGCCGGTCGATTCTTTATAGTACTATCGAGTTTTTTCCATTCGTCTTGTAATGTCTGTTTAACATTTTCCATATTATTTGGATTACCATTGTTATTCTCAATGGTAATCACTACCCAGAGACCATCTATATGATTGTGTTCATTTTGTACTTGAACTTGATTGACTATTGTACGTAAACCTTTTCGGGTTTTGTGATTGATTATGTTAATACGAACATTTAATTTACGTTCAAGAAGCTTCAGATTTGCACCATGTCGTCCACCAAAGCGACGAATTTTATAAGTACGTTGAATAAGGTCGAAGGTCGAAGGGAATTAAAGTATTACGTAATTGATAGGTTTTACAAGTTTCGGTATCATCTGTGGTTCTTTTTGTGATGCCTCAATTTCTTGACAAAGTTTTCGTAAATGATCGACGTTAAATGAAGATTCTCCTAAAAAAATAATATTAACCATGAATATTTTAATTTTTTAAGTTAATTTTCGAAATCTTTTCATTGACTAAAAATAACTTTAGTTTTTTTGTCTCACAAAGAATAAAACAGTCTTACTAACCAGTTTTTACTTGACACGAACAGCATCGTTTTGGTAATCGTTTTAGAGTGAAACCGTTAAATTGATTTGTTCGACGAAGTTGATTAATTGCTCCATGAAATTTTGAAAGATATTTTCGATCATGTACAATACAACCTTCCTCAACTGCTGTCATATCGTTTAGTTGGTCTTTGTGAGAATTTCCATTTATAAAAAAACAACAGAAATATGAGGTGACAAATTGCGAGATATGAGACTGTATTTATGTAGCAATGCAATTATGTCACTCATATGCAATGCATGTTTCGAAGTGAAAGAAAAAGATAAAAGGGTAACCGTAATAGGACAAAATATGATTACATCGTTTTGTGCAAGTCATATACTATTTCGCAATCGCGACGAATATGTATTTCAGAGTATTATGAAATAGATCAGTGTTTATGAAGTGACATTTTCAATGAATTAAAAAACAATGTCATCTGAAAATTTCTTATCATTAGAAGGATAAAATATATTCGGATCAAACGTGGATTTTATTTAAATGTATAAGAAGCGAATTACGAATTATATAAAAATAAAAAGTGAGACAGATAACTATGCCAATATATATGAATAAATACTGAAGCTAAATAAATAGATGTATAAGGGTATCACATATAAATTAGTGATAAGAAATTTAAATATCTCCGACAGATGTCTATCAAACAAGCTGAAATTTTTACACGTGATAGAGGCTTGCGAATATTTTCTTTCTCTCGAATATTGAGAGCATAATGCGTTGATGCGTCACCTTGTATCAGAAAAAATGAGTCATTATATGATAAATCATGAAACACAGGAGAGAAAGAATCATTAGGCATTTTAGGATAATTTCGATTTGCATTGAACACTACCATCTAATATTTGCATTCTCTTTACTTTGTTATGACGATTAATCTAATCATTTGGTTAAAATGTGGTTTCATAAAACCAAATGGCACAATTGACAAGATTTACCTCATTTTCAATCCGTGAGAGAAATATTTAATTAAGTTCATGAATCAATCTTGAAATGTATGATTTGAAGACCACAAGCTTATAAAAGTATCGAATCGAGCTTCTTAAGATGTTCATCCATGAACTCATACAACGACTTGATACTTGTAAATGTTTTGTTAAAATAAAGGATTAACTTCATCTTTTGTGGTTTGACTGATAATTACGTAATATTTGTTAGCTAGATGAAATACTTTCTAGTATCGAGCTATTCTGCTCAAATTTGTTAATTGAGTCGTTTATTATTGATCAAGAATGATGGTTGATCTCCATTTTCTTGAAACAGTCTTTGAACTTGAATCATATATTCAAGCTTATGCATTTGTTTCATGATCGATATTCTTTCATTTCAAATAAGTGGACGACGAACTATATCTTATGTTTAATTTAAAGGTGAATATGTAGTTCAGAAACCGTGTAATGGTGACTGTTTGTTAGAATAAAGACGAATCGATTTATACGCGTTGAGATATAACAGCAGAAAAATATACGATGAGTAAAAACCTGAAATTCCTTTTTATTCTATGCACAACTGGACAATATCGGAAAGAAAAATGATGTGTTTTGTTGCGAGAAAGAACTTTATATACGATGCTATTGAAAGGAAAAGCATCACTGAAATGTATGAAGTTCTCACTTGACGATGCGAATTTCGCTTTTTTTCTCGCTGTTGCCAATACACTTACTGCTGGTCCAAATCGTTATGTTATTATTAAGGACAAATGATCCCATTACGGTTGTGTCATTATTTTTTAATGAGTTTTTTCTAGTATAATAGGGAATATACGTCTGTAGGTGACATTAAATCTATCCGCATAAAGAGAAAAAGAATAATTTGCTTTCGATAATAACACATTAGATTATTCGATGTTGTTCAAGTATCTTTCAAAACAAACTGCTTCCAATTTCTTAGATATCGTGAATGAAAAGAAAAATCTATTCTTTTCTATAACTTCTTGATATGTGTACAAAAATCACAATAGCAGCAGTTATTTATCAAAACTTATTCAAAGCAACACGATGAGAAATATCAAGTTAGTGATGTATGTTATATTCATTGTGGTATTTTTGGCATCGTATTGCAATGTAAGCGGAAAGAAAGATTCCACCCAACCTGATAAGAAACGTAATTGTATTCCTATTGGTGATCTGTGTAACGATGTTTCTGAGTGTTGCAATAATATAATGATTCCGATGTTGGTCATTGTCTTCATTGTCGTAATAGCTGGCCTTTTGCTCGTCAGTACCGTTGTGATTGCAGTTCTAGTGGGGCTGGTGCTACTACTGATGATGGTTTTGATCGTCATCGTAATCGTTGTCGTGTTAGTATTGCTCGTCCTAATAGTTGGTTTGCTCGTGGTAAAAATATTCATCCCAAAAAAAGACAAAGATGTTCAGTAAGTACATTGTTTCAATTGTAACTGCTCGCCAGAACGTTTTGATGTTTCTTCTACGATTTTTATACTTAGTTTTAGTTTTATTTGATTCTATATTTATTGATCTCGTCTGACTTTTTTCTTCGTAGGTAATATTAAACAAAAGCAACTCAATGCTAAAAATCAAACAAGGCTATCAGTGATTATCAATGTCAGTGAATACGATTGACTTTCCAGTATTCTTCTTTCAAACTTTCATCCAGCTGTTTTTCCTCATCTTTTCTATCTTTTCACTAATTTCAATTCTAAAAAAAAATACACATTGGAAAATATGGTCCATGCATTAGACGAGCTTTGAAGTATATAAGATATTTGGATCTTCTGTTGATGTAAGAATCTTTTTTAATGTCGTTGGAACAATTTATCAGTCTATTTAAATATTGTTACTTATACGCTTTCCATGAATATCTATAAATAGAAACTGTTGAATTCTCTTTTTTCTCGACGATAATTTCTGTGTAATTCATTTTATTTGCTTTCAATATTTTGCTTTAAAAATAAATTAAGTCAAAGTTATGCGTAACTTCATTTACTAAAACCATGCTCGGTTAAGTCTTGTTCTAGAATGAGCCAATTTTCTTCCCGTTTACCGTATAAAACAGCGTCGCAGTGAGAAATTGGTTCAAAAACTTTTAAAACTAAACCACGACCACCTGAATTATCATTGTTTACTAGTGCTTTGTATTCAATATCAATTTTATATTGTTGATTCCATGCTTCAACTTTAGTATGAATAGAATATATTTTACTATCGACAATTTGCCATTCTAGTAGTTTCAAATGATATCGATCTCCACATAGAGTTCCAGTTTCAATTCGTTGACCTTTCCAACCAATAAATATATATCAAATGTAATCATCTTCGATTGTAGGTATATGATAGCTACCTAAAACCAATGAAAATTCCTTATCAACATGATGAAACTGTGCCCAAACCCAATTAAAAAGATTTCTAGGTCAAGCTCCATAATTATGATCATGATAAGCAGTAGTATTAATAGAATTCTTTTTGTTATTATATTGAATAAATCCAGATACGTAAGCACTTGGCATATAGGCTATCCAATCTAACTCTAACAATAGAGATATTCCTTCTTTTTGTCTGCAGGCATAAGATTTTTGTTGAAATGTTATTCACCAACGTAATTGACCCTCTCTTTTTAGATATAGAGCAAAGTTTCGTTGTTTTCTTCATCTTAGAGTGTACTCATAAAGTGAACCATAGACTTCTGATTGCTATTATCGTGGGAATTTACTTTCTCCTTTTGATCGGCGTGTCAATAGAAATTCTAAGCATATACTGCATTGTTGATCGATGCTTTTTTATTGTGTAAATATATCCATATCTTAAGTTCCATGTTGAAAGTTCAATATTTACAAGGAAAAATAATATGAAAATCAATTTATCTGTTCAATCATATTTCTGTCCGTATTTCTAAAAATGAAAACTTTCTATTTTGCTTAGCTGGAGAGTGTGGAATGGTGAGGGTGTTCCTTTCCACTTTCAGGACACCCACACCCTATTCCTTATTAATGAGAGTTATATTTCATATATGTCTGAGTCCAATAAGTTTAGAAAATGATCACTAATAAGTGCAATACACAATCCTCTCAATTTCAAAATGTCCTTAAAAACATCATACACGATGTAGTTTCAATACTTTATCTGATTATAGATTTTTGTTTTCACAACTAATCTGAATATGTGACATCTGTGTTTTAACAATTATTTTCCAGATGTTTCTATAAGCTAAAATACGAAAACACTTCATTTTTGTGGAATACTCTAGATTTCATCATGGACAGTTTCGAAACTTTGCACTGAAAAGAAGACTCATAGCAAAGTGAAATACATTTCTTCATCGATAATATGATCGAGACCAAAATGGTTCCACTAATTGCGATAAACACAAAAAATGCTGCTTTTTCAGGATTGTACTGACGTCTATCACAAAGCTAACTGGTTGCTGTTCTAGATTACCAAAGACGGTGTCTTAATGAGAGGAATTTTTTCCATATAGTTTTCTAATATAAGTTAAAAAACCAAATTCGTTTATCACAATTCCATGTAGAAGTTTACTCAAAAAGAAGTCTTTATGAAACAACAATATGATCGCCTATATACACTTCAGCATAATTGAATCCAAGTGAATACTGTAACAAAAAAGTTCAGTAACTTAACATTAATATAGTTCATAGAAGTTTTTTCATACAGTAGCACTTCCTAAATTTGTGAAATCTTTATAGTCTATTTCGACATCTTCATTTCTCATACCTATACCTTCTAAGTTATCTCATACTAACTAAACTTTCTTTTTTTTTTACAACATTCAGATGAAAACTTGAACTTCGATTCATGAATGATCACTTGGATCATAACTCAATGATCGTTTATATCAAAGATACTAAATGGTAACCATGTTCCATTCAAAGCGACAGACGTCAATCTCCGTTTTTGAACCCTATGCTTTATCGCACTACTTCCATCATCAAGTGTTTGTATTTATTTCATTATCAGACTATCCAAATACACCAAGCCATATAGGTTTATTTGCGAATTTTCTTTATACAAAGGAGCTTGAATAAATATGTTGCTCTGGCAAGTCAATATTGCCATCAACTCGCACATTTTCGTCATCGCAACATGTAATTGATCAGAGCTGATGATTTACCTCTCGGTGCTGTGTTGGACACAACATTCGTT